CTCCTTTGCCCTCCTGCTTTTTAGTGCTACTGTTACCATAAATTAAGTTCCATGTGTATATGGATCTATTTCTGTCTTCTCTATCTTATTCCTTCAATCTGTGTGTCTTTCCCTGTTTGATTACTCTTGATTTCTCCTTGTATGTCTGTCAGTTTTTGCTTTTGCTTTTGAGGCTGTGTTCTTAAGTGTATAAAATTTAAATTTTATTCATTCTTGATGAATTGAACCTTTTGTCTTTGTGGTGGTGAACCTCTAGATCTCTAATATCATTTTTGTTTCCTTAAAATTTGTTTTATCTGATGTGAATAGAGCTCTACCTGCTTTTATATTGATATATATATATATATTTTTCTATTCTTTTACTTTGTCTTTCTGTATGTTTTAGATGAATCTCATGTAAATAGCATTAAGTTAGATTTTTTAAAAAAATCCATCCTAACAGTCTTTGTCTTTTAAATGGACAGATTTGGCAAGTTTTATTTTTTTAAATTATTACTAATATATTTGGGTTTAAACCTGCCATCATATTTTGTACTGTTTGTGCTACCAGTTTATTTTCGTTTTCTTTCTTTTCTTTTTTGCCTTTCTTTGGATTAATACTTTTTTAAAAAAATTTATTTATTTTTGGCTGTGTTAGGTCTTACTTGCGGTGCGCGGGCTTCTCATTGCGTTGGCTTCTCTTGTTGCAGAGCATGGCCTCTAGTGCGCGGCCTTCAGTAGTTGTGGCTCGCGGGCTCTAGAGCGCAGGCTCGGTAGTTGTGGCACACGGGCTTAGCTGCTCTGCGGCATATGAGATCTTCCTGGACCAGGGCTCGAACCCGTGTCCCCTGCATTGGCAGGTGGATTCCCAACCACTGCGCCACCAGGGAAGCCTGGATTAATAATTTTTTTAGTCAGTTTATTTTTTTTTAATTAATTAATTAATTTATTTATTTATGGCTGTGTTGGGTCTTCGTTGCTGCGCGTGGGCTTTCTGTAGTTGCAGTGAGCAGGGGCTACTCTTCATTGCGGTGCATGGGCTTCTCATTGCAGTGGCTTCTCTTGTTGAAGAGCACGGGCTCTAGGTGCGTGGGCTTCAATAGTTGTGGCACACGGGCTCAGTAGTTGTGGCTCGTGGGCTTAATTGCTCTGCGGCATGTGGGATCTTCCAGGACCAGGGCTTGAACCCTTGTCGCCTGTATTGGCAGACGGATTCTTAACCACTGCACCACCAGGGAAGTCCTTTTAGTCAGTTTAATTCCCTCTACCCATTTGGAAATATGGGAACTCTTTTTTAGTTGTTACTCTAGAGATAACAACATTAATCTTTAAGTTATATTAATACTTTCCCCCTTTTCTGGAAGTTGTAAGACCTCCATTTACCTTCCCAACTTTTCATTCTCTATATTTATTTATTTTCTTTTTTAGGCCACGCCGTGCAGCATGTGGGATCTTAGTTCCCTGACCAGGGATCGAACCCATGCCCCCTGCATTGGGAGTGCAGAGTCTTAACAACTGGACCACCAGGGAATTCCCATTCATTCTCTATATATTTTTCAACCCCAGAAGAATATTGCTTCATATAGTCAGTGTACATTTAGAAATGGCTCTACATACATTTACTACCATTTTTTTCTCTTTAGTTTTTACAATTAGTTTCATTTTCCTTTTATCAGCCACCCTTTGGAATTTTCTTTAAGTAGATTTGCAGGTGGCAGACTCTTTTGTGTATCTAAAAATGTCTGTATTGCACCTTCGTTCATGAATGATGTTGTTGGTTATAGAATTCTAGCTTGGCATTTGCTTGCAGCACTTAAGATAATGTTCTACTGTCTTTTGGCTTCAGTTCTTCTGAGAAGTCGGCTGCTGGTATGTTGCTCCTTTGAAGGTAGTTTGTCTCTTTTCTCTCTCTCTTCAGTTTTGCTTTCATTTGTCAAGGTATGGATTTCCTCATTTTCTTACTGGACTTCTTGAATCTGTGGAATAATCTCTCTTTAGATACAACTTTTCCTTTCCTCATAGGACTCTGATTAGATGTGTATTAAATCGTCTCACTCCACCTTGTAGTCTTACTTTCCACATTTTTGTCCCTCTTTGCTGCCTTCTTGATTACTTTTATGATTTATATTTCAGTTCATTAATTCTCATACTATATTTTTTGTTAAACCTGTATTCTTGATTTTGGTTATTGTGATTTTTCAGTTCTGGTGTTTCATACTGGTTCTTTTTAAAAATCTGAAACAAATTTTTTCTTTAATCTTTCCAGCTGTCTGTCAGTTTTCAACCTTGGCCTTTATTTCTTGGACATTAAACAAGTATTAAACATAATTATTCTAGATTCTTGTGTTTGAAAATTCTGATATCTGAAATCTTTAGGGATCTATTTCTATTGTTTATTCTTTCTGCTAGGTTTTGTTCATGGTACCCTGTTTCTTTGCCCAGTTTTGTGTGTTTGATCATGTATTTGAAAAATTATTTATGGGGATGATTTGACAAAGCCTTCCTTTCCTTTTTTCATATATGAATCAGGATAAAAGGTAAATAAAAGCTCAACATATAAGTGAGCAGAAATGCTTGCTATCTTAATCTTGTTTATTAGACTGTTGAAGTTATACATGAATATATATTCACTAAAGTGTAGAGAGTTCAAATTTCCTTGTTTATCCACTTCATGAGTAATTCATTAAAAGATCATAAATATTTTTAGGTGATTTTTTTCCAATGAAATATTTAATCAGTCCCTTGTGAGATATCACAGATTGTTTAATGTTATCCAGTTTTGTAATTCTTAACAGTAAAAATGTGCGTGATTTTAATAGTTATTCTTAACTCTGTAAACTTAGTTCTTTCCAGTAATTTTATTTATTTAATTATTGGACTGGGGGTGGAATTTCAGTTATATATTAATTGAGATGTAAAAAATTATCTACAGAGGGAACGTCGGTTGGTATCATGACCAGTTTGATTTCCAGATAGTTGGTACTGTAAGAACTATGTATTATTTCCTTGTTAAATAATTGTCCGAAACTTCCTGAAGGAAGCAGGCAAGGGACACCAGAGAAGTCCCTGGGCAATTCTCATCTTAGCTGAACTCAGTTAATCAGCCGATGATCTGGGTAGGGGCTGGGTACTCTGTGGGGACCTTAGCTGGGTCAGCTTGTCTCTGCTTCAGATTATATATCATCCTTCAAATGCTAACCTTGGGTTATTCTCATGATGGTAGAGCAGAGTTCCAAAAGAGAGAGGGAAAGAGTGCAAAGCCACTGGTGAGGCATAGGCTCAGATCTGATGCACTGTCATTTCTGCTGCATTCTGTTCAAAGCAAGCCACAGGTCAGAGACCAGTTTTAAGACATGGAGAAATAGATTCACCATTTTGGTGGGAACACCTGCAGAAGTCATATTGTAAGGATAATGGGTACAGAGAAAAGAATAACGGGTCCTTTTTTTTTCTTTTTTTTTGGGGGGGGTACGCGGGCCTCTCACTGTTGTGGCCTCTCCCATTGCGGAGCACAGGCTCCGGACGTGCAGGCTCAGCGGCCATGGCTCACGGGCCTAGCCACTCTGCGGTATGTGGGATCTTCCCGGACTGGGGCACGAACCCGTGTCCCCTGCATCGGCAGGCGGACTCTCAACCACTGTGCCACCAGGGAAGCCCCTTGGGTCCTTTTCACTAAACAGTATACCACAGATGGCAAAGGAGTTTGGAAAAGAAGATGAGACCTAAGAACTGGTAGAGGCAGTAGTGAGGCCTGTGAAACCATCTCCTCCCAGTAAAGCTGCCTCATGGGAAGAGTTCACAATGCAATATTCTCTTGCTAGTTTAAGGAGACTTTTCTGGCCTTGGCCTATTTTCTGGTTTGGATCTCCCCTCAGAATTTGTAACCACAGGACTGCCCTAAAGTAGGTTTGGGGCTTGTCAGAGTAGTCCTGGGTTGGTGTATATGTATTATATTTCACAATATATTAAGGGTTTTAAGTGAAGTAACTGGCTGGCTGTTTTGAAAAAAAGAACTAGAAATGGTATAAAACATAGTCATTAAAAGTTTAAATTCAGTGGATAGTTGAAACAGTAGGTTGGACACACTGCTAAAGAGAAAAATAATGACTTGAAAGATAGATCCAAGGAAATTACTCACAAAGGGGCATGGATATTAAAGAGAAGTTAAAAGACTTGTTGGGTATGTTGGGAAGATAAAACGTTTGTCTAATATTATCAAGAAGAGAATTGAATAAATGGGAGAGAGACAGTATTTGCAGAAATAACACTTAAGAATTTGTCAGACTTGATTGAAACCATAAAACCTGAGATTGAGGAACACAAGGTCTGAGCTGGATAATCACCTTTAACCCATTCCTAAACATACAGCAGTGAAGCATCAGAAGGAGTTGGATAGGTTCACTGCTTAGTGGGTTTTCTTTAGCTTCAGTTCCATAATTTCTTAGGTTTGCTTCCACTCTGCAATCTCTAGAGGAGTCTGAGTGTGTATACATAGGGATAAATTTCTTTTGAAGAAAGGAAACATTGTTTCTTTGAAGAAAGGAAACATTGTTTTATCATGCAGTTTTATATATACCAATCTTCTGCCCAGTTCTTATCTTAAAACTTTTGAGTGATGCCCAGATGGTGGGCCTTCATAGACCACAGAACTCTAAGCTAGAACCTGACAGAGAGGGAAGGAGGCTGGGGAGCTTTCTTGGACAGCATAGTTAGATGCTGCCTCTAGTGCTAAATCATATATTGTAAGGGATTCCAGTACATAGCTGGGCCTTTTAAAATTTGGACATTTGTGGGAATTTTCTGGAATATGCTTTATGCAGCCTGCCTGTGTGGTACAGAATTCATTCAGTATAGAGTAAGGCTATTAAATATTTTGTACAGAAAATTTTAAAACTATAATGGTTTTATTAACTTACTTTTGAAGACAAAAAATTATATCAGTAATATTTGCTATGCTTTTCTGAATGTAAATTGTTTGAAAGGTAACATTAAGTCTGAGGTTTTCTATCATTTTACTCTAGGCAGCACACTTCTGCTTTTGTTCCTTCATCAGGACGAATTTATTCTTTTGGACTTGGTGGTAATGGACAGCTAGGAACTGGTTCAACAAGCAACAGAAAAAGTCCTTTCACTGTGAAAGGAAATTGGTTCCCTTATAATGGACAATGTCCACCAGATTTTGGTAAGTTCTTTTACATTAAAGCTTTGCTGCACACACTAAAATTATTGTTAAAATGTTGCTCTTAAAAGACGAACTTTTCTATGTTTTAAATGAAAGAATCACGAGATACATTGTTTAGTGAAAATAGCAAGATACAGAATACTGTATATGGTTGCTTAGTTTGTTTATATATATATATATATATGCATAAGGAAACCCAGGATAAATAAAATAATGAAAGTAGGTTGGGCATATGGGAACTGAACGGTGACTAGATACCAGTGGGAGGGAAGTGTTTTTGTTTTTTATTTTTGATTATGGTAAAATACACATAATACAAAGTTTATGAACTTAACTATTTTTAAGTGCACAGTCAGTAGTGTTAAGTACATTCACATTGTTGTGTAACTACCTCCAGAGCGTTTTTGTCTTGCAAAACTGAAACTCTGTGTTCATGAAACAACAATTCTCCATTCACTCTTCCCACTAGCTGGCAACCATTCTGCATTCTGTCTCTGTGAATTTGACTTAGCTCTAAATATCTCATAAGTGGAATCATACAGTATTTTTTTTTTTTGTGATTGGCTTGTTTTACTTAGCATAATGTCCTTAAGGTTCATCCATGTTACAGCATGTGTGTATAGACCGCATTTTGTTTATCTGTGAGTTGCTGATGGACGTTTGGATTGTTTCCACCTTTTGACTACTGTGAATAATGCTGCTATAAACATGGGTGTATAACTATCTCATCAAGACCCTGCTTTCAATTCTTTGGGGTATATACGATACTTTAAAATTTATAACATTTTCTATTTATCTGAAATTTGAACATATGAATATATTACCTGTTCGAAATATTAAAATTTGCTTTTATATCCCTACTGCTTTAGCCAAATCTATATTTTTGTTTTCTGTTACTCTTTTAATAGATGTGGTTATCTTTTCAATGATCCTAACTTACTACTTAAAGAATTTGAAATGTTCAGATGCTGTTTTCTCATTCACTTCTTTGACATGCTGCAACCAAAATGTACTTTTAAAAATATTTCCTTTACCATCCTAAACTACACCTCCGAATTGTTTTTTCATTTATTTTATCTATGTTTGATTGTCTTTGGGATTTTTCTCTGAGTTGTGGGACTTGAGTCAAGACTATTCTGTGATGAACCTACTATGAAGGTTGACATTTGAAAAGGTCCATCACTTTTTATTATGAATTACCTTTGAAGATACTTTTTTTTTTCGTAGCTAAAAGGATATCTCTGTTATACTTTTATTTAACAAACGTCAGGATATGATACTATTTTTTTCTTGTTTTTGTTTGATTTTGTGTTAGAATATGGCTTCGCTTTCTTCCAGTCACTGTTAGGTTTGGAACCTGCATTTATTTTAGTAGTATTGTTCTTTTTCTTATGTCCTTAGGAGCATGTTGGTGTTTCATCATATCAGTTTCTTCCACAAGGCACCATTAATAACCTAACAAAGAGATTTGTAATTTAAAGCAGCATGGATATTGTAAGGAATCATGTATTTCTGTTATACAGTTTAGTCACTTAGAGATGCATTTTGTTGCCTTTGAAACTGCATACCTTAAGATTATTTGCATTAAAGTGGGAAAGGAAATGGAGTTATAAAAGCAGTCATTTTTGCTACAATTTAGTTTCATTAAAAAATTGTTTATTCACAGTAGCCAAAAGGCATAAACAACTCATGTCCATCAACAGATGAATGGATAGAAAAGTATGGTATATATATGTAATTGAATATTAGCCGTATAGAGGAATGAAATTTTGGTACATGCCACAGCATGGAAGAACCTTGAAAACGTGCTAAGTGAAAGAAGCCTGACACAAAAGGATAAATATTGTATGACTCCTCTTGTATGAGGTACCTAGAACAAATTTATAGAGACAGAGAGGACACTGGTTTCCAGGGTCTGGAGGGAGGGGAGAATGAGGAGTTGTTTAATGGGTACAGATTTTCTGTTTGGGATGATAAAATGTACTGGAGGTGAATAATGGTGTTAGTTCACAACACTGTGAATTTGCTTGATGCCATGAATTAACACTTTAAAATGGTTAAAACAGTAAATTTTCTGTTATGTATATCTTACCACTATTTTATATATATAATATATATAATGGCTGATAATTGTTTTGTACTATACTAAAGCTGTGTAGGATAGGAACTAATTAAATCTGAATTTAATTTACTCAGCCCCTCTAGAAGTTAAGTCCGTGGCCCCCCACCATAAATCAATCACATTGTTAGCATAAACTATCTGGTATGTCCTCGAGGCCACAGGTAAAAACACACACACACACACACACACACACACACACACACTGTATTTTATTTTTACAAGAGATAAATAAACTGACACCAAGCATTGTAAATGGATGACCACAACAAAAGCAACAATGATTGCAATTACCAAACACGAAACACACTCATACTATGTCATAATATTGACATTCAGTCCAGTAATCCTCCACTGTATCAGGTCCTTTACTTTGCAGTGAAAATTGATTTGTATATTTTTTGCCTCTGAGCCCTTGTGGGATTTATTTTATTTTATTTTTTAAAATTATTATTATTATTTTTATTCAAACAGAAAGTCACAAAAATTATAATCATCCTCATCAGTTCACTCAGTCCCATGTAATTAATTTTTTTTTTCATCTTGATCTTTTGTTAGCACTTTTATGAATTCATCAGTTTTCCGTTAGAGTTCTGAAAATGCTTATTCATTCAGTTCAGCAGTATAGTCAGTTACCAGAAACCTGTACTTGTCAGAGTCTTTTCCATGAATTCCTTGAAGATGAAACCCTTTTATAGGAACATTTTTGCAAAAGCATCAGAGTACACCCAGAACTGTCTGTAAATGACAAAAGACTTAAAAATGACCACGGTTAAAGATTTGATGAAAGTTCATAATAATGCAATTGACAAGGAAATTTAGTTATTTCTGAGATATACATTTTAAAGTAATAACTAGAATTATGACTTATAACATTATACCAGAACATACAAGATTTTTAGACATTTCATGTAATGTCTGAAACATTTATATTAACATATTTCCATAGAAATAACCCAAAGAAAGTTTAGTATTAGTTGTTTTTTTGTTTGTTTGATTTTTATACTGCAGGTTCTTACTAGTCATCAATTTTATACACATCAGTGTATACATGTCATTTCCAATCGCCCAATTCAGCACACCACCATCCACATCCCACTGCAGTTTTCCCCCCTTGGTGTCCATACGTTTGTTCTCTACATCTGTGTCTCAACTTCTGCCCTGCAAACTGGTTCATCTGTACCATTTTTCTAGGTTCCACATACATGCGTTAATACACGATATTTATTTTTCTCTTTCTGACTTCACTCTGTATGACAGTCTCTAGGTCCATCCACGTCTCAATGACTTAATTTCTTAATGACTCAATTTCGTTCCTTTTTATGGCTGAGTAATATTCCATTGTATATATGTACCACAACTTCTTTATCCATTCATCTGTCAGTGGGCATTTAGGTTGCTTCCATGACCTGGCTATTGTAAATAGTGCTGCAATGAACATTTGGGTGCATGTGTCTTTTTGAATTATGGTTTTCTCTGGATATATGCCCGGTAGTGGGATTGCTGGATCATATGGTAATTCTATTTTTAGTTTTTTAAGGAACCTCCATACTGTTCTCCATAGTGGCTATATCAATTTACATTCCCACCAACAGTGCAAGAGGGTTCCCTTTTCTCCACACCCTCTCCAGCATTTGTTGTTTCTAGATTTTCTGATGATACCCATTCTAACTGGTGTGAAGTGATACCTCATTGTAGTTTTGATTTGCATTTCTCTAATAATTAGTGATGTTGAGCAGGTTTTCATGTGCTTCTTGGCCATCTGTATGTCTTCTTTGGAGAAATCTCTGTTTACATCTTCTGCCCATTTTTGGATTGGGTTGTTTGTTTCTTTAATATTGAGCTGCATGAGCTGTGTATGTATTTTGGGGATTAGTCCTTCGTCCATTGATTCGTTTGCAAATATTTTCTCCCATTCTGAGGGTTGTCTTTTCGTCTTGTTTATGGTTTCCTTTGCTGTGCAAAAGCTTTGAAGTTTCATTAGGGCCCATTTGTTTATTTTTGTTTTTATTTCCATTACTCTAGGAGGTGGATCAAAAAAGATCTTGCTGTGGTTTATGTCAAAGAGTGTTCTTTCTATGTTTTCCTCCAAGAGTTTTATAGTGTCCGGTCTTACATTTAGGTCTCTAATCCATTTTGAGTTTATTTTTGTGTATGGTGTTAGGGAATGTTCTTATTTCATTCTTTTACATGTAGCTGTCCAGTTTTCCCAGCACCACTTATTGAAGAGACTGTCTTTTCTCCATTGTATATCTTTGCCTCCTTTGTCATAGATTAGTTGACCATAGGTGCGTGGGTTTATCTCTGGGCTTTCTATCTTGTTCCATTGATCTATGTTTCTGTTTTTGTGCCAGTACCATATTGTCTTGATTACTGTAGCTTTGTAGTATTGTCTGAAGTCAGGGAGTCTGATTCCTCCAGCTCTGTTTTTTTCCCTCAAGACTGCTTTGGCTATTCGGGGTCTATAAAAAGACACTCTTAACAGGATATTCCCAAGACTTTGAGACTCTCTCCTTGGAACTAGGCAAAGGGCAAACCTTTCTTTTTTTTTTTGTGGTATGCAGGCCTCTCACTGTTGTGGCCTTTCCCGTTGCGGAGCACAGGCTCCGGACGCGCAGGCTCAGCCGCCGTGGCTCACGGGCCCAGCCGCTCCGTGGCATGTGGGATCCTCCTGGACCGGGGCACGAACCCGTGTCCCCTGCATTGGCAGATGGACTCTCAACCACTGCGCCACCAGGGAAGCCCCAAACCTTTCTTTAGAATGTGTGTAGTATTAGTGTATAGGACAACTGTATTAGTTTGCTAGGGCTGCTATAATAAAATATCACAAACTCAGTTTCTTGAACAATACAAATTTATTGACTCAGTTGTGAAGGCTAGA